TACGCTTGATTTTTACTCATGGTTACCACGAGCGGCTGTCATCCTGGAAGAATTATGTTTGGACGGTTTATATGTCAAGAAAAAATAAAATAATATATATATATATATTGAAATAAAATAACTATTCTTTATACACTTTTAAACCCTTTGACCAATCTGAATTAAATTTTGCATAGTTATATATTCCTAAAAATTCCTAAAAATCTGCAAAAAAATATAAGCTACATGAAACCTAGACATTTTATCCTCTCCCCTTAATTTCAATCCCTTGACACTCGATGATAATCTGGACAGTAATATATCTGAGCCAAGTAATTTCAGCTGGTATAATAAAATAATATATAATGGTAAAATTACGATGGAGAACATGTAATTATACGATCTCACTGATTAAAAGTCACGTGCGAAACGAACCATAATTGATGATGATTAATTCACTGAGAGAAACAATATCTAAGTAATAAAAATATTTAGAGTCAGTAAGTGCTGATAACATATTTATACTAATACATATATTTTTACATTAGGAAAAAATGTTTACATTAGTTTTTTTCAAGTAAGAAAAAATATTTTATTAAAAATATCTAGTTTTTCAGGGAAGTAATTTTTTACGCGGAGAGAATTTTTTTAAAGTAAGGAATAGATTGATATTTTCTAATAATTAACTATTCTTTTATTTCATACGTTATCTGCACATGCTCTAAAAACTAAATGTGTTATTAAAAAATTTGTTTCCAGCGAAATTGTTTCTTAACAAAATAGGCTTTACTCATAGCCTGTTCCTGCACAGCAAAATACAAAAGAATTTGTATAAAAAATAAAAAAACTATATTTTCTCATCGTATATTTTTTTTTAAATAAGAGAATTTAGATTTACCTAAATACACGTTGACAATACTCACTGAACAAATATATCTTATTTTCTGGATATTCTCTTCTTTCTCAGTGCAACAATAAATTTCACAGCTGAATAAGTCAATGAGCGACTAGATAGATATTCAGGAAAATTTATTGGAATTTTTTCCGTGAGAAAATTGCAGGATTTTTATTCTGTAGAATGCAAGGCGCGAGCACGTAGACTGACGCGTGCGTGATGTACGAGGAAGGCGCGCGAAAAGCGAAGTCGATCGCAAATACTTTTCACGGAAAAGCAGGTATCGGTCGTAATCGAATAACGAGCCACGGCAGTTCGCCTTATCTGAGGAATGTCCGAGGAGTAAACGAGTTGCAAAAATAGGAAAGACGAGCCTCGCCGCGCGGATTGAAGCGACGCCCGCCTGGCGTGCTATTTTAATGCGAGAGATGATCGATTAAGTATTCCGCGTGCGCGCGGGCAAGGCGCGTGGCCGTAATTGAACGCACGTCTCTCGATTTTTCACGCGTCGCGAAACCCAAGCATCACGCCCTGAAAATACCGTAACGAGAATCCCGACGACTCAGCGCGCGGGCTTGTTTCGTCATACCTCGCGCAATTCCCGCGTCGATCTCCGCTAATTCGCAATCCCATTTCCGTCTTTTTATCCTCGTTCAAACGATTTTCCTCGACAAATGCATCTCGCTTTCGCATATCCTCGACGAAATAATTTTTATACACGAAGTGAATTTAGAATAATCCAATTTTCACTCGTCACTGATACAATTCGATTAAACAGAAATCCATTACCTAAATGTTACAAGAAAAATTACTATAGAATTTCGTAATTGAGGAATAGATCGATGTTTTGCGATAATAAACTATCCTTTCATCTAAAAATAATCTAAAATTAAAAAAATATTTATTCAATAGGTACTAACATATTTATATACATACACGTGTATATAGGGTGTCCCACCTAATATGACCATCTTAAATATCTCGCTTATGTTTTATGATAGAAGGATACCAAAGGGAGATATTATTTAGTTCAATGAGACAAAAGAGTAAAAAATAAAAAATTTTTGTCAAAATTATATTTTTTAGGATTTCAAGATCATTATCATTTTTTTATATAAGTCTACATATTTTTATCATCGCGATATGATAGAAGAAAAAGATAGAAGAACAAGAAAAATTTCTTGTTTTTTACAGTATTTGTCTCTTCGAACTGAATAATGTCTCTCTTTGACATCCTCCTATCATAAAACATAAGCGATATATTTAAGACGGTCAAATTAGGTGCGACACACTGTGTGTATATATGTATATATATATATTTCAAATAAGAAAATATACGTTTTTTTAAAATCCCTTAGTTCTTCATAAAAGCAATTGTTTATTCTATTTAAACAAAAGAATTTAGATTCGAGTAAATATGTTGTTAGCAGCCACCGAGAGAGAGAGAGAGAGAGAGAGAGAGAGAGAGAGAGAGAGAGAGTAAATACTTTTAATTTTTTAGATATTTTTTCTCAGAGTACCCCCGATTAGGATTTACTGAATTAGAAGTGTGCGCGAGTCAAAGCTCCCGCATTTATCCAGATTAATTCACGAGACCGCCAAATGTTTATGAAACAGAATGGCCGACAGGCCTTGAGCGCCTCCGCCATGCGACGTGCGAATTACTGAGACCAGACGCGTGTCTCGCTCAGGGGCTCGTAGTTCCCAGATAAATCATTAGCCGGAAAGGCAAAAATGCTAATCCCACCTCTGCGATAAATTCGCCGCTTTGTATGTAACTCTCGATCTTTGCATCGCGCAAGAACAATATATCACCATATCGATTGTCCGCCCTCGGGCTCTGTACCGAGAGCAAGTCGAGAGAGCTCGCAGCAGCACCGACAGAGAAATCCAGATAGAGGAAGAGAGAGAGAGAGAGAGAGAGAGAGATCACTACACTCTCACACGCACGAGCTTACGAGAATCTTCCGGCGCAATCCAGCCAGCCGGCCGTTCCTCTATTCCTCTTATAATCGCGTTTCGCGCAGTTATACTTGCATGCGCGCGCGTGGGCGAGGTTGAAGTATGAGAACAGAAACCAAGAGGGAGAATCGTGACCGACGCTGTGCATAATAAGGTGGCAATATTCGTGGGATTACTTTAGCGGGTCTTATAAAACATTTAACGCTTGTGAATATTTATAACGCGAGTCCGCGGGATATACAGTGAGAGGGAAAAATTTTCATCTGAGAACCGAAAGATATGAGAACTGAAATATTTATTCCACGCGAGCATTAATCACATGTTTACTCACGCCGACATATATATCTTTACACTGAAAAGAAATATATCTGTCAAAACATATTTTCCTAAGACCGTTGCTGTTCACGAGAACAGTTTGTCCTATTCAAATAGAAGAATTTATTAGGACCTTAACTTAGTTTCCGCCCGCAAATGTTAGATGGCAATGCAAACAGTTCTAGTAGTCATTACTAACGAAACAGGTAGTTTGTGATTAATTTCGACATTTCTCGATAACATTCAGTCAGCATACACAATTATTTTCCTAAACAACAATTTCTTTTGCTTTGTGAAAAATGGAACGCGATAAAGTGTTTTTTCGACATGTGCTTTTGCACTATTTTGATTTGAAAAAAAGTGTAGCAGAAGTTCATCGATTACTTGAAGAAGGTTATGGTGATCGAGCTCCAT